CTCTCGGAAGGACGACGGCGAGACAAAGGGCTATTTTTCCGAACGACCTCTATTTCGAGATGCCTTTTTAAATCCGAGCTGGGGCTAGATCTGTGATGGACTGATTCAGCAGTCTTCTGTCTCTCGTCAAAATGGTCCGTCTGATCAATAATAAGCACTAGCGGTTCGGTTTTGATGTTCAGAGCTCCTCTTCTGCTGTCAGTTGAAATACATCTCCAATTTAGATTGTGTGCATTTGGGGCCTCTCGCTGTAGGTGGAGCTTTCTCCCGCTGGTAGTAAATTCCAGTGACATTTCATCGTCTTTGATATCCCCGATTGTGTACTCCAAGTCAACTTAAACACAGCCTCCGAGTGTGTGCAGGTCTCCATGGACCGTCTCCGCTGATCAATCCTCAGCCCATCTGTCTGCCAGGCTTCTTCAGAGGGGCCGCACAGTGGGCGAGATGAATCCTCGCTACAGGGGTCTTCATTAAACCCTTCCTCCCGCCTCCTCCCCCCCTCCTTTAGCTCTCCCCAGGCCTGGGCAAAGTTAATGAGAAGATTCGATCAGCTGGCACCCCAGACTTACTCATCTTCATCCCCTTAACCCAGCAGTTGTCTTCCTCCCACGTCAGCTCTGACTCACTCACATAGCTCCACTCCCAACCCCAATCATTAGCGTCTTTTTAGCTGCCATTCACAGGACTAAAGTGTTCCCTTGAATCAAAACAACATGCTTGAAAGACATTATGGTGATGTACTCTCTAATGCTGATTTATTTCTATTTTGAGATGTTTCCATTTCAGAAATGCCTTGTTTTGTTGTGTGCTGCTGCAACAAAACATTTCCCAAATTGTGACTAATAAAGCACATCTTATCTTATCTTACCAATCAACTACACAAAGTAAACCCTTTTAAACACATTGGACAAACATGACTGATCACATAAGCTTTCTTTAGCTGTTGCGCTAAGCTAACTGATATATTCCCATTCGGGATCGATTGAATTATTAGATGCCTCTTTTAGAAACATGGCATTTGTGGTGTTTGAATTGGAGCCTCTGACATTGTTCCTGGACAATTAGTTTGATTGTCCAACTGTACACATCGTGTGGTAAACTTTGATTGGGAGGTGTAGCCCAAAGCTACTCTACACCTCCCAAACACTGGAATCACATCAATATTTAGTGTGGACGATTACCCACGTTCACAAGTCAGAATCTCTTTTTGGATTATAAAAAGTAGAGCTGCATCTTTTGATCTGCTGAAATATTTTTTTACAAAAATGTCTGACTGAGAGAATCTCTTGAGTCGCAAAGGAAATACAAAACAGAAATGCAGAAAATCTCCATATCTAAGAAGCTAAAAACAGCCCTTTTTGCATGGAAATGGCGATTATTTGTCTGTTAATCTACTTATCATTGGAGCTTTTATATGAAGGCAGAATGGTTCATCCTCACGGCATGGTTTAATCTAAATTGCAGGAACTTTTGTTGGGAGAGAACTCAGAACACTGAAACGCTTTTTGGCACAAGGAAGGTTCAAACTATTGAGTAATACACGGGAGGCTTGAGAACAAAAGCATATTCATCAGTATTTCACAATCACAGGTAAAACCCATATGTGGTCATTTCCTCTCCACCAGTCTCTGTGCAGTTTTCTGTGTGGGAGGAGGGGGGGGGGGGTTTGGTGATAGCGTAGCGATAGCGTGGCTCAGTTGTTCTGCCAGCTAAATGGATTTGCAGTGAAGGATGGCACGGTGACCCTGTACAGGCCTCAGCCTTTTGCAGCTTTAAACTCCTTTTGGAGTCACAGCAGAGGCTTTGTGCCCGAGCTCTGGCTCATCTAACCGCCCCCCCCACCCCCCCCCCCCCACACACCTGCCAAGAAGAGCGGGCAAAGCGGGAACATAAGTGCTCGCTTTCAGAGTCAGAAACGTTAGTGTTCTTCTTCAGTGACAAAGGTAGCAGGGGACAGTGGGACAGTGTAGCCCCTGACCTCATTCTGTGTGACTGGCGACAATGGTGGGACCTAGCAAAGTATATTTAAATATATGTTTTCATATATCTATTTATCTAACCTCGAAAAGACCCAGTAAGGAGGTGTTTACAATGATGCCTATATGTCAATGCATGCAAACAAAATAGTTAACAAAAACAACAATGTATGATATCTAAAAGCCTAAATAGATATTGATAAAAAGGCAATAGAGTAGATAAGTCAAATAGAGGTATTTTAAAATGACAAATAATTCTTCCAACGGTCAAAAACTAAAAATATCTTTCACCTACATTGCTAATAAAATGTAGCGAAGCATCACATTTTGATGTTGTTAAGCTGGAAAATGATACGTATTCATGCTATAAATGACCTATATTATTAATTCTGTGTGACTGGCGAGGCCACACACAGTCTAGTGTTCGACATCATTATCTCATCTTATTCTCCTTCTTCCGCCACACATTTTGTGTTGACACGAAACTCACAAAAAACACATCAAAACGTGCGGAATGACGGGATCTGGTTGCTATCACTTTGTCAGGAATGTGGTACAAGAGCTAAAATGTATATTCTTTGTTGTACCTTAACAATACAGCTATGCTATTACTCAGCGGGGGTAATGTTAGCATCGGACACGTTTCAGTCACAGTCAACATTTCTCTGAATGTTCTGGTTTGATTATACTCATTGTTAGGATAAGTGTACGTCTTATCGCAGCAATTGCCACATCGTCTTGTTTTTTCTAGTGGTTATGCTTCATGGATGTCTTCAGACTATTGAGCTCATCACACTGTTAACTCTGTCCATGCTTTGCAAAGTGATGCAACAGTTAAACTGAAGGAATGAAAAAAAAAAGCGGGAGAATTGATTTTGATATTTTCTCATCACACCTTCAATTTTTTTCAATTTTCCTTGGACTGTTGCACTTTCTGTAGTTGTTGAAAAGTCATAATAGATTGGCCTTTCACATACAGTACTTTCAATTAATTCTCTACCTTCCTCAAGTGTTCCTAAAGGCCTGGCAACTTTCTTCTCCTTCTGCTTTTAACCTTTTCATGACCGCTTTTAATAAAGAAGTTGAAGCCAAGAAAGTATACGTTTTAAACAGTTTGACATCATCACTTGATTTGATGTGATGTTCAGTGCCTTAGTAAGAAAGATGGCGATTTCAGTCATGGCAATGAATACAAACATCTTAAAGACACGCTTGTTATGATGACAGCTATATCTAATCATTCCTGCGCCTGACTCGTCCTTCCAGTTTCATTTCACTACTGTGTATTTACATGAGTATATTCATTTCAGCCTCTTCAGACGGCCACTGATCCTGCATGACCCTCTCCACTCTCTCACATCAGTCCCTTCTGCATCCAGCAGCAACGTTTCTGACATGGTCGAATCTGAATAGCAGTAAAATAGAAAAAACGGGGGGGAAATCGGTGTTCGTTCATCGTGTGTGTGTGTCCCCCCACACACACACACCTGTCCTCTGGCCTGAAACATTGTGATGCCATGTGGCTCCTTGCAACACGACAGGGTTACAGCGGTGATTTAGTATCGCACCTCGAGAGACAGATTAAACCACGATGTGTCAATATCAAAGCAGTACAGAGCAAAAGAGACCCTGACTTGTTGTACCTAGTATGGGTCAAGCTACACAAGCAGAGGTTCTGGTATTTCCTTAAATTCTAACAAAGGCTCCTTTTTTTTTTTTAAAGGTCATAAAATGTCTGTGCAACTCCAGACCCTCAGGCTTTTAGCACAGCAGTAGGAGTTTCTAGTCTGAACTCAGGTTGAAATGAAGCCTTTTTCATGCTTCCTTCTGGCAGAATGGACAAAGGTGGGATTGGCATACAGGGACCCCACTAGCTTCTGGTCATTCATGATTGAGGCCAAAAACGTAGTTGTAGTTTTGCCCTGCTGTTGCAAGACAAGTCTACTTTTTCCACTCATTGACAGCTCTGATTGACAGACCATTCATTTCAACACAGTCTGTGCGACCCAGTCCTCATTGTCCCGTTTGGGAAGTCCCTCAGACCCTTCGTAAAGGTCGACATTGCGCAATATCGCCGGCTGGGCCGCGCTGACCGGTTTAACTCTGACATCAGCAGGGTCATCATTAGACGTGACAAAGCTCCTCAACAGAAGGCGTTATACAACATATTCAAATGCTGTGTAATACTCTTCACGATTAGTAAGCTGACGCTTATGTCCTACACCAAAGTTGGCTCAGGATTGCAAAGTGTGCTGCCAGTCGCAGTTTGTCTCGGCGTTAAAGCTGGGATTTATCCCGTAGCGGTGGTGAAACATTCACGTCTCTTATGAACGGCTGTATTGATGACCTGTCCTGATGAAGGTACTGTTAGTAATCTGATACAAACATTAAGCCGACAGTATTGTTTTACTCATCTCTTCCTGCGGCCCTCTTTAGAAAATCCCCCAGCGATCTCATCTCCTCCCCTTTAAGAGTCAGACGCAGGGATTCATGGCAGCAGTGTGTGACCTCGGACCTGTTTGGGTCTGTAATGCATTAAGATGAATGCTTTCCCTCTTACTGTCAGATGATGAATTGCGGGCTCCAGGGGAGGCTGTCTGCTATGTAAAAGAGGCGCTTGCAGACATGGCACTTTCATCAATCAGAGGGGGGGGGGGCGCTGTAATGTCGTTACACTGCAGAGAGAGGAGACTCTGCAGCAGACGGGCCCTTTTCTCTCTTTAAGTTGCTTGCGTAATGCTTTCCTCTCTCCCTCTGTGGTATAAGAAACATGGGGGGTGCATTGCTGAAACATTTAGGTGGATGAAGTCCTTGTTGTGGCCTTCAGTCGGAGTTATCGCACGGTGTCATCAGCTGTTCTCAGGTACAGCTTGCCATGTCCTCCCTACAATTTCCTCTTTTCGCTCCGAAGGCAATATCAAGGTCTCAATTAAAGTGACACCTGGGCTCTCAGTCACAAAGAGCCAGCAGAGCTGCCTGCCGGAGAGCCTGTCACTGATTAGTCAACACCCCAGCAGTCCGGAGATGACTCTGGGCATGGTGAAGCCCCCGGTGGAGCCATGGTGCGTTGCAGTCGCTCCAGTGAGCAGAGAGGTCCAGGGGCCAGACGCAGGTGAAGCATGCTCAAGTCGTTCCCAGGTGACGAGCAGAGGAAGAAGACTGACAGGATTTCCCTCTTTCCTTATTTGCTTTATTCTCTTTCTTTTCCGTCTCTCCCAAGCTGGGCAAACACTCCAAACCAATTTACCAAATACAAATATTCATTTTCAAGATTCAAGGCTTTATTGTCATGTGCACATTAGCTACAGTGGAGATATGGCAATTATTAACTTCACAGTTTTTGAATAGAACCTGGGATTTATTTATAGAAATGTGAACATTCTTGTCTATTACAGTTCCTTACGGCACCCAAGTGTCAGGATATTCTGAGCTTGATTTAGTTTTTTAAGACAGAAAGTCACAGAAGTGTTTAATAAATCTCCAATTACAGTTCCCACAATATACCGTAAATGGATACCGAGTTTTAGACAAGAAGTACATTGCATTTCAAAGTTTCAATTGAATTTAAAGAACACATTTATCATGACAAGGGCTAGGTTTGAAACCTCATGGCTTTTCGAATACCTGAACACAAATATATACAATTTGACTGATCTAGTCATATTTATGTTCAGTCTTGCTTATTCTTTGACGCCCCACTTTGTGACCTAAAGATATAATTAAACATATTTGCCCATTCCAAACAGTATTTCTTGTAGACTGCTTGTGTAAAGACATTGAATGATTTCAACACATTCAAGAGTCAAATTTGTTTGGTAAATGAAAGCAGGGGGTATAGGTAGAAAAAGCCCTGCGAGGTATTTCAGTAAAGGAAATGGTACCCAACCTTGATAAATATAGTTTAGCAACATAAAAGGGAAAGGTTTCATCCATCTGGTCCACCTCCACAAGCCCTTCCTCACCCTTGATCTGTCCTCGCCCTGTATTTACCAGCTTTCTCTACAGACAGCACCTTCATATAGCTCACAGGATCTGAAGATTCTCCCAGTTATTTGCGTGTTGCTCATCTCCTCCCAGAACCATCCATAGCTCTGCCTCTCTCCTCTCATTCTCCCACGTGGCTCTCCTCTCATTCTCCCCGTGTGAGGTCGTGGCAGTTGTTGCGGTGGGAGGTGTGGTGTAACCCCGGCTGTTTTGGCAGATAAGCCTCAGCAGGGCCCACCTGCTTCCCCGATGCTCGTCAGCCAATAGGACTCGAGCTGTCACAGGCCTTCAGTCGGAGGCAGAAGGTTGCCACCTCGACGTATCCAAGACAACCGCCTCATCGCGGCTTGGAAACATGGAGAGCATCTACATCTCAAATAGGAAATGTAAAAGACTCCAACGAATTGAGTCGAAAAAGTGATCCTTATTTGAGTTGTTTTAACTTGACCTAGTCTTTGAAGAACTGGATATAACTGATTAGGTTATTTATAGAAAATGTGGACAACCAAGTAATTTTTCCGCTAAAATAGCAAACACTTAATTTGCTTTTTTTATCCTTGCAACGAGATGTATGATTTCTTACTTTGGACTGTTGGTTGAACAAAAGTGTGGTGCAACTACATAGAGGGAACCAAAAGCAAGACGACTAACGATGTCCATTATCTGTCTCAATTTAAAAGGGTCAAATGTGATTTCATATTTGCATGGGTTCTGGAAATAGATGCAGCTAAATATCCTGGAAACAAAGCTTGTATCTCGACTTAGACGGAAATGCAACAAAGCAGTAAAAGCCTCATGAATAAAAGTGGTTCGGCGGAGCAGTCTGTGATTGGTCGGTTTGCTTCATTGGTATACTTTTATTGCAAAGCTTAAAGTCATTATCTTTACATTTGGATAATCAATGTCATTGGGTCCTGGTCCTCACTTTCAAAGCCCTCCACCATCTGCCCCCCCCTACCTCACTGACCTCCTCATCCTCTCCCAACCACCCCGGTCCCTCAGATCCACCTCAGCCGGTTTGCTTTCCATCCCCAAGGCCAAACTCCGGAGCTTCGGGGATAGAGCCTTCTCTGTGGCTCTGGAACTCCCTCCCCTAAGACCTCCGTGAGTCTGAGTCCTTCACCCTGTTCCAGTCCCGCCTCAATACCCACCTCTTCAACTCTGTATCCATAAGCCCCCCCCCCCCCTCTCAACCAACTTCCTCCTGACTGCTTTTCTGTTTTGTTTTGTTTTATTTGTCTACCCTCCCTCCCAAATGTAAAGCGTCTTTGGGTTCAAGAAAAGCGCTATAGAAATAAAATGTATTATTATTGGTTATGAAATGGGGCCGGGGATCAACAATGTTATGTTTTGAGTACAGACAGTATAGGCACATATATCACACAGGCCTTTAGTGTTGTGATTCCCTTTTTAATTGATTTGTTTCTGCGCTAATGACGGTTGTCCTCTTTGACGAGCCAATCATCTTGACTGTCATCCCTCCCCCAGGCCCTCGCATCACTTCCTGATCTGAATGTATAAAATTCAGCCGTGGATTTACAGCAGCTTTTTCTCCGCCTCGAGCCAAAGAAGCGATTTCTTGGTGAGAACACATCATGGTAGAGGTCAATAAACAATGGCTCGGTTATTCCGTGGTAGATTGAAAAGGAAATCATTTTGTGGTGGAGGCAGAGAGGTGTGTGTGTGTGTGTGTGTGTTTGCATGTAGTGTGAGTTAAGGAGCAGACCCCTGTTCTTCCTGTGGAGGCTTTCTCTTGGCAGCGAGGCTTCAAGCTGACCTGTCAGTATCAGTCAGCCTGCAGAGCCGTGAAATGACCCGGCAGCCTCTTGCAGCTCTTCCCCTCACACTGTTGCACCCCAAATATGTTTTGGTTCCCACATCTCCCTGCTTTATATTCACTCCCCACACCTCGTTCACTCGCGCTGTTCTCCGTCTCACGTAGGCACAATCGCTTAGTTTCTCTTTTCTCTGGAGACTTAATGTTTCCTGTTTGGATCCTGTTTGCAAGGCTTCAATAGGAATCACTTAATGGATTGAGAGAGGAGACGGACCCCTGGTTTTTTCATAGCCCACTGAAAATGTTCCAGGAATAGGAGCAGCTCAACAGTCTTGCTTTCTGTGCGTTTGAGGAAGTGTCTTTTCTCTTTCTGTTCAAACGAAGTTTTTCCTTTTTTGTTGTCTTTTTTAACTCAAATCCTGCAGTAAATGTATTCCTTCATCCTCACCATTCTCGCTACGCTTCCTGCAAGTTTAAAGCTCGATTGTTTTTTAATTTAGGGAGCTATATTTTTTGGGAGTACACCCTCACCACTCTCGCCAACACGCCTGCTCTTTCCCTCTGATGGTGGAGAGATGGATGGCTGGGAGAGAATGATCCTCATGGCAGACACATCAGTCAAGCGGACAAATGGCAGCCCTAAACTTGGAAAGCCATTAGCAGAGCCGAAGCAGGAGTGATGGCGGGCCAAGACCCTCGGGTTTCCATGATTCCCCTTTTTACAGAGCGCCGTTCTATGCCAGGCCACGACATGGCGGCGGGGGTGAGGCCACCTCTCTGTCCCGTATGTTGACATAGGGCCGAACCCCAGTCATTAATGAACAAACCCCCCAAAGCATGAAGGGGTCGGCTGTCTTTTCATTTATGACTCATGCAATTGGCATAAGGCTGTGTCGCAGTTGAGAGGAAGTTCTGTGACGGGCATTATGTATTTACCGCCCTGCGTTTACAGTTTGTCAACACTGACGTCATGATTCAGACGAGGATCTGGACCGTTACGTTTTTGGAGAAAGGCTCCTTTTTCACTTTTTACATCTTAATTGTCTACCTTTTGAACATCTCCCTCCCTCGTGCTGGACCACTGCCAATTTGGAATCACATTGAATCTCGTTTTGTCTACATCGAATATACAAAACCACTTTTTAAAACTTCTCTTACAGAATCAGGTGAGAGGTTAGTTTTCCTGCGCTCCACTGAGCTCCACAGAGACGAAGAAGTATTTTGGAGAACATCAGCGGCGGCTGTGTTTATCTATTTGTGTCTTTGTCTTAGCAGCTGCTTTGTAAAGGAAATATTGTTCCTTTTTGTTCAAACAGAAATAAAGAGGCAGTAGGGAGGGAGGGCAGAGGGGGAGAGAAACATTAGCTTGTCTAAACGATGTGCCAGAACTCTTCGTCTACAGTAACAACACTGAATACACCGATGCATGTTTCTAATGTCTATAAAATCATGGCTGAACATACATATTGAGGGAGAAACATGTTAAACATGTTTACATCGTTAAATGTACATTTTAATGAACAAAGCAGTTGCTAGACAACATCGCGCTTAAATGCTTGCAAACGAGATGGGATTCTGGATTCAAAATAGACCATTATGGGCAAATTGCGTGCTACAGTATAGACGGAGAGGAAATTGGCGTCATTTTCAGAGTGTGATTATAGCGAGCTGGTAAACAAAAACTGAAGTGTCTGATGTTTGAGTAGTTGCCTCATCGTGTGTGTGTGTGTGTGTGTGTGTGTGTCACAGGTAGGGGGAATGCTACCCTGCAGGAAATGTCCTGATGCAAACAGAGATATAGCATGGGGAATGTGGAGCGACTCAAACGAGCCATGTTTGTCTGTGCGTGAAAGAGTGAGGAGCTTTAAACTCTCAGAGAAAACTACTCAAATTTGGAATAAAACACTTATTTACACTCGACTGTGACTTGACACAAGAGTGGAAATTGGGCACTGCGTGAGTAATTATTTACATTTATCCTCTAATTGTTGAACACTTTGTAGATCCATCTTCTACAGTAGCAGGCTTTAACTCATTACAGGTAAATAACTGCCATAAACACACAGGAACATGTCATTGTGAATATGTCACTGTAGGTGTCAATGTTGATCCTCAAGGAGAGAGCAACAAGTAATGTTGTCTAGACATACGCAAATATAATATAAAAAGGAAGACACACGCAAACGGATATAAACAAATCAACAAATGTTCAGAAATAGCTTTAAAATAGTCTTTATTTTGCTTTTACTTCTCTTGACAAACCACAAAGTACACAGCCTTGGGACAGTTACTTACAAGAAAAAAACATCACTTCGGAAATGTACTGTATGTCTGGAGCTGCCTGTTGAAGC